GTGAGTTTACAATATTGCATGTTGTGTAAACCCTCTGTGAAATATTTACAAGTGGTGCCTATACAGAATCCGAATAGATTTTTGAAATTAAACCATTTATTTTTGGAAGAAAACTAATTATTATGGTTATTCTTTATAATTTGTAGTAGTTGTAAATGTAATATAATGGGAAAATGTCTTTCTAAACTTTCTAATCCCTCTTCTTCTCCCATCTGTATATTTTTTTGTTCTGGAAAATTAAGAAAGGTAAAATAAGCTATTTTCAGTACTTTAGATTAAAATTCCTCCCACATTGCCTGCAAATAATATAGTCTTACATTTTTGCCTATACTTTGCCTGTATTTGGTGTGCGCGCACACCAAAAAAGTGAATCAACTTTGCTGCATGTTTCTAGTCCTAAAATAAATGTTTTCTCCTGTTTTAAAGATGTTTCTCCTCACCCCCACCTCTTAGAAATAATTAGCTATTGTTGTACTATATGCATGTGATTACTCCAGAGTCACCCAATGTAATATGAAACCATCTATTTAGATAGTGTAGGATATGTAAATATATAACTTAGAATAAGTAGAGGTTAGTATTTTTTTTCCTAAAGAAGTAGGAAATGAAAGAGTAATTATTAACCATCTCCTTTTCACTTTCCTGAAAACATCAATTATGGTTACACATCTTAGAAACAAGCTCACCAATAGAACAGAAATAACCCTTCATTATGCTTCAAAATTTAATCACAATTTAACTGCTGGGATGTATGTATAAGTGTCACTTGAAACATTAATTTTGATGCAAGTCTGCCTGCTTTGGGATGATAGTGCTGGGCTTTTAGCAGTTGTCTTGGTCTCTATAAGAATGTTTTATGATTAAGAGTTATTGCAAATTTAACACAACAGAAAAATATCCTTCTGAACTCCTGCTTACCCTACCCCCACAAACACACTGTGCTGTTAACTAGAAAATTACATTTCAGTGGCTACTAGAGGAAGAGAATTTTGAATAGTATCAACACTGATTATAGTTAATGTGGAAAATAATACAGGCAGCTGCACTGGAGACTAAGACAAACCCTAAAGGTCTTGAAAGAATTATTATCAAGTTGGAAATCAATGAGGGGGTGAGGCGGGGGTGGGGGTGGGGAGCAATCATTCTTTCTTCCTCTTACTGTTCCATACCATTACTTTTAAAGGTGATATTACCTCTGGTTTTAATATCACAGGAAGATATTTTTGGAACATTTGGGTTATTGTTTGGGGAATGCTTTTGCAAGTGATCAAGAGTGCTAATTTTGTATAGATTTAATTCTAGGAAATATTGAAATCATTTTGTTAAAAGAATCCTCTAAAATTTTCTTTTAAAGAAATGAGAAGTATATTTTGTAAATGTTGGAGCATACTATAAGAAAAGTGAAATTTTTATCTGACTATAAGTACCATTTTATGTAGGAAAAGGAATAAAATATTTTTGACACAACATTTTAACAAGTGTGGATGGAATATGTTTTGTGAAAAGAAGTCTTAGTTCTTATTAAAATTCCTCTATCAGCTTCTCAAATGGTCACTTTGATATTTGTTTTGGTATGCATTTGATACATTGCAAGAATTGAGTATTTTGTGGGTTTATTGTGGACTTGAGAACTTAATTAGTTTAACTTTTTACTGTGGGAAAATTGTATATTCTTTCTGAGAAAGATTAAGCTTCACTTCTGAATGAAATTTCTCTTTCTAAACATAGACCTGTCACACTCCATTTCTCAAGTATAAGAAGTTTATAAGGGTGACGGGTGAGGCTCAGTGGTAGGACATTTTCCTAGTATGTATAAGGCTACAGATTTGATTCCCAGCATCACAAAAGGAAAAAAAAGATTATTGTCAAAAATTGTAAATCATGTATAAAATATTATTTTCAAATATGTGTATACTGTAGAATGGTGAAATCAAGGTACTTCAGATGAGTATTACCTCATATATTACTTTTTTGTGTGAGAACACTTAACATTTACTCTCTTTGCACTACTCACTATAGTCATCAAGTAGAATGGATCACTTAATCATATTCTAATTGAAATTGTATATCCTTTGATCATTAATCCTACCACTACACCATTCTAAGCCTCTACTAACTTTTATTCCCTACTCTCCACTAGTTTTTTAGATTGCTTTAATGAGTGAAATCATAGAGTATTTGTCTTTGTTGGGCTTCTGTCCTTTAACAAATACTGTCCTCCAGGATTAATAGCATCTAGAGGTCTTGTGTTCTTCTTTCCATCAAAAAGAAACATTGTTACAAATGACAGATTTCCATCTTTTTTAAGGCTGAAGACTAATAAGTATATATGCGCATTTTAATCTACTTTTCTTTTAATGGAAGGTCAGGTCATTTCCGTAACTTGGCTGTCATGTATATGCTTTATTACACATGGGAATACAGATTCTTTAATGTGTGATACTGTATCATGTGTAGCTCTGTCTAAATTTTTTGAGGAACTTTTGTACTGTCTCCTCCTCCTCCTCCTCCTCCTCCTCCTCCTCCTCCTCCTCCTCCTCCTCCTCCTCCTCCTCCTCCTCCTCCGATTGAACTCAGGGCCTTATGCTCTTTTTTTGTTTTTAAGTCACAGCAGGTACTGTACCACTTTGAGCCACAACTACAGTTCTGGCTTTTTACTGGTTAATTGGAGAATGAAAGTCCCACATATTTGTCTGCCTGGGCTAGCTTTGAACTTTGACCTTCAAGTCTTAACCTCCTGAGTTAGGATTATAGGTGTGATCCACAGGCTCATGGCTAGTCTTTCCTCTTATGTCACAATAATTCATGCATTTTATACCATGGACTTACATTGAATTATACTCATTTTATAATTCTGTTTCTCTTCTTTTCTTGGGAGGTGGGTCCTATTTCAGCTGCCAGGGCTCCCTGTGGTCCACAGATGGATGGATGAGTGAATGAATGGATTGATGGAAATAAAGAGCAGCAGATGTGGTGACACATGTTCATAACCCCAGACGTTCCAGTGGGAGAATCTATGTAAAAAAATAATAATAAAGGCAATGAGCTGGGGATGTGGCTTAAGTGTGAAGTGCTTGTCTAGCAAGTGCAGGTTTTTGGTTTCAGTCCTACTACTGATAGAATATGTACACACATCCATACCACCCCATCCAGAAATAGTCATTAACGAATTTACATGCATTATTTAGAGTTTTTCTGTAATGTATAGATTTTTTTTTTACAAATACACATTCTGTTTTGTTTTTTCCCTTTTGTATTTACCAATACAATACTGCATATTATTTCTATTAGGTTATAAAAAGCCCAAAATTCAAGCGCCCCCAAAATCTTTAGTGTTGAATATTGGTGTTCAACCACTATAGGCAACAAATTTTCTAAAACCAGAAACACTTCTGGTCCCACACATTTTGGATAAAGGCTGTTCACCTGGTATAAACATGTGTATCTTCAGTGTTGAAATGGTTTCCGGGCTAAATTACAATTTATGTCTCCACTTGTTTTGTTGATTGCGTTTTCAGTTTGGAGAGCTATACGGTTATGATATTTGGGTGGCTTCATCTTTCTGTTTACCCATAATTTTTGAAGTATAAAATATCTGAAATCAAATTGATGGGCAAATGGATTTTGATATTCCTCCTCTCTACTCCACTTGAATGTAGAGTGTTCTAGTAACTGTTGTGTCAGGTCACTTGGCAGTAGGTTCAGATGCAGGGTGGCTCTGCATTAAAGCCACTTTCCTCCTCATTGCTTCAACCTCCAACCAAGGAGCTCAGGTCTCTCCACGTTCCATTATTACCCTGATGTTTTCAGAGACTGGAATTGCTAACCTCCACTCCTGGGAAGAAAATCAGGATACAGCCGGGCGCTGGTGGCTCAGGCCTGTAATCCTAGCTACTCAGGAGGCTGAGATCTGAGGATCGCAGTTCAAAGCCAGCCCGGGCAGGAGAGACCGTGAGACTCCTATCTCCAATAAACCACCAGAAAACCGGAAGTGGCGCTGTAGCTCAAGTGGTAGAGCGCTCGCCTTGAGCTGAAGAACTGAGGGACAGCGCCCAGGCCCAGAGTTCAAGCCCCACGACCGACCCCCCCCCCCCCCAAAAAAAAAAAATCAGGATACATTTGTAATAGTTCATTGTATTTGGTTGAGTAGAAGCCACTGATACTGTCTCTGAGACTTCAGAAAGAAAACCATGGATGTTTACTTAAAACTACTTCATTTCTCAGTCATATAGCCCTCTCTGATTGACACAAAAAAGAAGACTCTTGAGGAACATGTTAGGATTACATTGAGCAGTTTTACAGCTGAAGATGTTCTGGGAAAAGTGTAATTTATGTCTACTGTACTAAATAGACACACATTTATCAGTGGTATTTTTGACTTATGAAGTTCAGATGAGAAAAATATGTATAAATAGTTATGTATTTACTTTGCATGTGTCTAGTTTACAAATAAGTAGCTAACATAGAGGCAAGTTCTTTTTCAGGATTCTGAACACAAAATAATTGCATTGTTCATTTTGTTATTTTAAATAAATGGTAATTCATTTTAACAACATTGAAACAGCCAGATGTCATATAATTCACCCACTTAAATGTAGTTATATGACTTTTAGTCTGCCCAGAAAGCAGACGGTAATCATGCAGTTCTGGAACATATTCCCCAAACAAAACCCTTCCACAGTTATCAGTTACTCCTCGTTCCTTCCCCTCTCTCCTCTCCTGAGCCAACTACTAATCTACTGTGTACCTCTGTGAACCTCAGTTATTATTAAGTGGCACCATATAACACTGTTACTTTGTGACTCACTTCTATTGGAATATGTGTTGATACTTCATAACTTTTTATGGCCAAATATTATTCTGCTGTGGAAATAACATACTATATTTTCTTCATCGGTTCAGTAGTTGATGGGCATGTGGGTTTTTGTGGAATGATGAGCACCTTCATTACAAGTTTGTGTACAGATGCAGTCTCATTTTATACTTTTCCTTTTTTTCAGTGTCTTTCTAGAGAAGCAGGTGGACGCATGAGCATTCAGTTTCTTGGTACAGTGGTAAGTACTAAAGAGTGCTTTGTGTATCCTCTTATTTTATAAGAAAAAGAAGTGCTCGGCTAATTTTAACCCGTGTGTTTCTACCTGACTTCACTGTGGTTTTATATTGTTCTTATATTGAGATATTTTTCTGTAGGATGTTTGTTTCTTAATGTATTGAAGAAGTTTCCATGATAGAGTTTAAAATAATGAGGATGTTTTGTTAAAGAGAAAATACTTTCAGCCGGGCGCTGGTGGCTCACACTTGTAATCTAGCTACTCAGGAGGCTGAGATCTGAGGATCGAGGTTCAAAGCCAGCCCGGGCAGGAGAGACTGTGAGACTCCTATCTCCAATAAACCACTAGAAAACCGGAAGTGGCGCTGTAGCTCAAGTGGTAGAGCGCTCGCCCTGAGCTGAAGAGCTGAGGGACAGCGCCCAGGCCCAGAGTTCAAGCCCCACAACCGCAAAAAAAAAAGAAAAAGAAAATACTTTCAAAATTTGTTTGTTGAGTATTTTAAGAACTTTTTTCTATTGAAGATTTTCTCTACATTTTTTTAAATTAAATAGGAACATTTGTTTTTTAAACTGAGCTTGACTTTTTTTTCTAGTTTTCTCTATTCGGTCCTTTGAAAACTATCTTTGTAGTAGAAACCAATCATAGTTTTTTTTTTTTTTTTTTTTTTCTTTCCAGTCATAGTTTTATATCTTAATTTTTGGCCTGAATACTATCAATTATTTTATATATTGCTGTGATACACTTATAAGCATTTTAAAAATGGAGCTATATTTCACATTGTGATAGGTAGGTGTGATATATTGTACTTACCTTTGAATCCTAGCTATTTGTTATTTAGATTGTTTCTAAATTACTTTTTGCTATCATGAGTGGTATTTTTGGGAATAACTTCATGTGTTTATGCTTTTGTTTTTGATTCTTAAATTATTTTCAAACATGTATAAGATATTTTTATTTGTTAAGATTACAATTATTAGTACCAATGGTCATCCTGTTTAAAATAATCTCTTTTAAAACTCACTTCAATTTAAAAATTTTCTGTTTATTAGCTGTATATTTCACTATTTCTCCCTCTATTCATTCATTGCTTGGGAGATCAGCCTATTCATGTCTTTGGGTATCGTTCACATTCATGTGGGGCATTTCTGAGAGCTTTGTCAGTTTATTGAGAATATCAGTATATGTACAGAGTATGTATAGTCAATGTGCATAATAAGCATATACGTTGCATATAAGTAGGCGGGCACTTGCTTAATATAACTTAATCTTTAGATATTAAACCTATGACTTATGCTTATTCTTGCTTTTCTGATAATAAAGTGGAATAGGAATAAATGAAGTGAATTATGGGAATGAAATGAGTGTCATAAAACATTGTATTAGCCAGTATTCTCCAATAAAAGTGAACCCAACAGAATGTGTTGGGAGTTTGTGTGTATCTATATATATGTAAAGAAAGAGAGAGAGAGGTCTGTTTGAAGGAATTAGCCCATGAAACTGTTGAGGCTTGGCAAATCTGAAATCTTCAGGGAACGTCTATAGGCTGATAACTTAGGAAAGCATTGCAGTTTAAGTCCAAAGACTGAATTCCTCCTTCCTGCCTGCTGGTCCGTTGTTTCCCATCGAGACTTACCACCAATTGGATGAGGTCCACCTAACGTATGTAGAATAATCTTACTCAGAGTCCACTGATTCAAATCTTAATTTCATTTTTTAAGAAACAAACTACCTTTACTGAAATACCTGAGATAATGTTTGCCTTACTATCTGGATATTATGGCCTCTCTAAATTGAACTTAACAATCATAAAAGTATATATCCTATCCCCTACAGGTATTTTAGTTACTACACAAGAACTGTGTTTTTCCACAAATAGAATTCTACATCTTTCCATGTAGTAGTAAATCTGAGTCAGAAAGAGAGAAAGGGGCAGAAAAAGACGGGGGGGGGGGGGGGGGGGGGGGGAGGGAGGGGGGGAGGAGAGGGAGAGGCTGACAACAAGGCAGTGCTCACATTCTGCTTTCTTCTTCTGTAAGGAAGGTTCTCATGCCATCATGACCTCATCTGAGCCAGGTCAGAGGCCTGCTGCGTATACCATCACACCTCCATATCTGAATGTGAGGAGGAAAGGACACGAACATCCACTCCATTGCATACACTTAGGAAGAGAATTACATGTCTCAGATTTTTTCCAGAATGGTTTTATTTTTGTATTTTGTTTGCAGATTTTGGTGAAGCCGTAAATCCTGTTCATCAGATAGCATAAGCTCACAAAGAAATGGAAGTGTTAGTATCTTGCTGAATCAGAATTCCTTTCTAGGCTAAACAATAGGATAGATGTGGGGAGGGGAGTCTTATTTTTTTTTAGTTTTTTAGTTTTTTGTTGGTTGTGGGGCTTGAACTCTAGGCCCGGACACTGTCTCTCAGCTATTCAGCTTGAGGCAAGCAAGCACTCTGCCATTTGAGCCATAGCACCACTTTCAGTTTTCTGGTGGTTTACTGGAGCTAAAAGTCTCATGGACTTTCCTGCCCAGGGCTGGCTTTGAATCCTGATCCTCAGATCTTGGCCTCCTGAGTAGCTAGGATTATAGGCGTGAGCCACCAGTGCCTGGCAATGGGGGAGTCCTTTGTATATGTTCTTTTTTCATTTTTTAAGGGGGGCGTGGGCAGGGTGGGAGGTTGTACTGGTACTGAAGCTTGAACTTGGAGCCTCTTGTTCCCACTTAGATTTTTTCACTAACTGCCTTACTCTACCACTTGAGCCACTTCTGGGATTTTTGCTGGTTATGTGGACTTTTGAGTTGGCTCCAACCAGAGATCCTCAGATCTCAGTCTCCTGAGTAGCTAGGATTGCAGGTGTGAGCCACCAGTGCTCATCTTATATTTGATTTTTAAAGGACTGCAATATAAAGGCAAACATATTTCATGGGACTGATTTTTTTTCTTGGAAAAACAATGTCGATTGCTCTAAAGGGAAGTTAAGCTTAGACTCCACTGAACAGCCTCTTTATGTCTGTGTCTTGGCATTTACCCAAGAAAACTTGAGAACTATCAGATTCTATGTCTTTGAAGCTTAGCCAGAGATCCTAATGAAACTAAATGATGCTAAAGTTCTTGAAGTTAATTTAAATCTCAAACTGTACATTTTAAATTAAGTTTTATTGTTAATAAATATGCTTTATTTCTTATTAGCCTTGAAAGCCTGAGAGATAATATCATAGAATAAACATGTTTTACAAAGAATCACCATTAAGAATGCTATTAATATGACCCTTGATACACCAGGACAATTAGATTTCAAAGTAAGCATTTGCAAAGTAACAGCGATTAATGACAACCATCGAAAACAATTTTCAACTCCATCATTTTAACTCAGGAGGGTAAACTTAATATGATAATTCATCTAGTTGAATTGTATCAGCTTAGCAGGAAAGTATGTCAATATGTGACCCTTACCTAGCTTCGAAATGGATGCTGTGCTGATAGATTTACCGGTTCCATTAAAGAACTTGGGGGAACTTTGGAATTTCAGCAATTGTTCCCTTGGAGGCTGAAAACCCAACCTGATCTCATACTGGGACCATTCTGGTCTGCATATTTCCATAATTTGCCTTTGCTACTAATATGACAGCAAGACACAAATAACTGTTTCTAATAATATCAGATGGAGTTGTGGAGGACAGCATTTTAATGCCGTGAAAGACCTCCCCGTGGGGTTGTTATTGCTACCATAGAACAGCAGCTACCCAGTGGCAACTGCAGTCTCTTAATTGATTCGTTTAATTAGCAAGAGCTGAAGCTTGGGCTGTATCATGTCATCTGATACTGCACAGCCTAAAATTTGCATCATTTTTATTTATAAATTTATAAACATCATCAAAAGTTCTACTTCTTCTGAAATTCATGTATGAGCATTAGAATTTTGTAGAGCAAACTCCCATTTGTTTGAAATCCAAATAATTGGGCAATGAAAAGGACTAGATTTGTTACCATTGTGTTTCTTGCCACCTTCTCTTTTAGCGTAGTAGATGATGTCATGTGTTTTTGTTCAGGTACCATCTTCAAAATGAAACTTTGAGAGAGCTTCATTAGCTATTCACACCTTAAAATGATAGCAGTCCTCCAACATTTATGTCAGACTGTACCCTATCCCTTCCTTTGCCCAGTGCAGGTCAGGAATGATGTGGTAGTGTACCACACTGATGCCCGTACCTGCCACCTGTGCTGGCCTGCCTTTGCAGCCACCCTGGGTCCTGCAGAGACTTAGCTGCTGCTTCTACGCTAGGCTGCTCCCCACCTTCTTGGGATGGGAAGAGAGAGAAAGGTGTGAAGTGCAGAGCTTAGAGAGAAAGCCTTTCTCCTACATGTCCTCCAGGCGCCATCCTTGCTCTCCTATTCCTGATCCTTGCCTACTACCCACCACCCCGATGCAGATGGTGGCAGAGTGGAGGGCTGATGAAGCTTCCAGATGTTTAGACACATTCTCATAATCCTCAGCAACAGGTAAATCCATGGCATCGCACCCCATGTTTCTCCTAATATACAAAATTTCATCCACATTATGGATAGAATAAAATCTTATAAAATGGGCTATACATGTCACCTTAACTTTGAAAATTAATCAAATGTGTAATGTATATTCTGTATATCATGTATCCAGTCTAAGAATGAACTTTTGGAATATAGCTTAGCTTAGCTTATGTTCTTTGAAAATGAATGTTCTATATAATATACAAGCTTTATCAGTGCCCAATTTATGATACACTATGAACAAAAAATTGAAAGAAATAATTGGCAACCTCTTATATGCTAGGAAGTGAGCTAGGTGAAGATGACTTGGTTTTTGCACTTAAGTAGCATACTAGTACCCTGTGTGGTGGTGCATGCATTTAATCCCAGCACTTGGGAGACTGAGAGAAGAGGACCATGAGTTTGAGTCCAACCTGGAAGTTACAGTGAAATCCTATCCAACAACAACAAAAAGGCATAGTAGCCATGGGGCT